ACAAAAACCCCAGCCACTGGAATGCTGACACGTGGATGCCTTTTGGTCCCGGTTGGTGCCACCAACCGGGACCAAAGTCCCCCCTGCCTGGGCTCGTCGCACCGGCCACGTGGAGGACCATTTGTCCCGGTTCGTGTTAGAACCGGGACTAAAGGGGGGAGGTATTAGTAACGACCATTAGTCCCGTTTCATGAACTGGGACTAAAGGCCCTTACGAACCGGGACAAATGCCCCCTTTTCTACTAGTGATGGGAAGTATCCGCTAGTTATAACGTAGTATAAAGAGAGCTATTTCATGGATCTTGGTCACAATAAAAAGAATCCAATAATGATCTATCAACTAAATGAGTTTATTATATAATCCCGTATCTTCAAGGTTGTTAAGATGATTTAGTAGATGTGTCGGTATTGTTTTCATCTGTCGTTGGGAGTGACTGCTTTGCTAATCTATCCTGGAACAACGGTTTGATCATTATGCGTTTTTGTTGATCCGTGACAACTCACCAGCATCCAACTAGTAAATATAATATTTAAATTCATATGGCTTGCTTACATCACCTTATTGTATTTGCTCTAAATGATAACGAAATGTTAGTCAATTTTGTTTTAACACACCAATTTAAAATGGTGATGAAGAGGAATGAAAACGGGACTAACAAAGTGGAAAATAAACTGAAAAAATGAGATAGACCCAATAAACCAGAACTGAGGGAGTAACGAACATATACATCTGCAGGGTCATCTCTTAAGAGTTAACACCGCAAATCTTGGTACTTCTTGATTTCCCCTTTTGGATGAATGCGTTATACAAGTTTCAATCTTGCGACGCACGTCCCGGCAAAACCTTCCATTTCCACTATCGATGTGAATTTCTTCCAAAACCATGGCATTCTCAGCGAAAAATTTGATGAGCTTGACACCAAGGCAGTTCAACTTCTCAAACCGGAATTGCAAACCCACTCTGCTCAGTGAGCTCTGCAAGCACTCGAACGAGCGTCGACTCAAGGCAGGAATTTCAGAAACTTCATCATATGCAACACTACTGATGGCCTCATCATGTCCTTCCTCGGAATCGCAGCCGCAATCAAAACGATCGACCGGGTTGTCGCGGCTAGATCGGAATTTCCTTTTCAGGAATTCACGAGTGTGCTCATGGTTTTTGGAGGTGTGATGGTCCTCTGTGGTGAGGTTGATCCGGAGGTCACGGAGCACGGAGCAGCAACGGAGCAGATTCGCGATCCCCAGGGCCGCCTTCTTGACATTCTCCCCATGCACTCCATGCAACTCGAGACGCTTGAGGCTGGAGAAGGCGGGCAGAAGCTCGGCCTGCCTCGCCTTGCTGACCACAGCTATCGCCTCAAGCTTTATGCTTAGCTTCATGTCTTTGGCGCTGGTGAAGCTCCGGACGAGTCGCCAGAAGGTCGCTAGTAGATCACGGTCTGGATCATTGTTCCTGTAGTCGGTGTCCGGGAAAAATTCGAGGTCCACTTGTTCCATCTCCGGCGGCTGTGGACTGAATGAGAACGGCCGGAGAAGCCCCTTGTACCTGAATCTACGCAGCCTCGGCGCGTGGATCTCCGCAGCGACAAGGGCAACGGGTTTCTCATTGTCGGAGCGGTTGCGGTGAGGCATGTAGTCTTTTTTCTTCCACATGCACCTCTCCAGAACGAGCAGGGTGGCGGCTGGGCAACTGAGGCCGAGGAGTCCATCTTCTTTGGGCAGCGGGGGATCGATCTCCTCCCCGTTGTCATCGATGTAGTAGTAGTCTTTGATGTCGTGGTCGTCTATCTGTACAGACTCGAGGCAGACGGCAGAGAGCACCGGTGCGGCGTCGATGATGCACTGTAGGGAGCCAAGGCTCTGAACACAATGCCGCAGCCGCAGCGACGAGAGCAGCGGGAGCGCGACCGCGGCGGCGGCCTTGGGCACGCCGAGGCCCTTGCAGTTGGTGAGTTCCAGCACACGGAGAGTCTCCAGCGGCAGGAAGTCGAGGGTGAGCCTATAGACACCTACCTGACTCCAGCAGATCTCCCTGTCCTCGTAAGCTTCGCTGCTATGTCCTTCAGCGACCAGCCTCAACTCCTCCGCCCGGCGCGCGGCGGGGTGGGAGAGCAGGACGTCGACCACCTTGTGTTCGGAATCCTCGTAGCAGCTGTGGCGGTTGCGGTTCAGGAAATCGTCGAGCGCTGTGTCGTCGCGGTCAGACAGGCGTAAGGTGAGCCTCTTGACGTGGCCGCCGTCGGCGGCGTCGAGTGCCGCCAAGGCCGCGGAGACGAAGGTATCACGGCCCGAGTAGAAGGCTTCATCGCGCGTACTACTGTAGAGTCCGTGCCTGTAGTTCTGGACGCACGTCTCGAGGTTCACGGCGCCCGAGGAGCGCCAGAGCGCCGTGCGCCAACGCCGCGAGAGCGCGGTCGTGGACGCGGCCTCCTTGGCTGGGGCGAAGTGGAGGACGCGCCGGAGGAGATCGTCGTGGAGTCCGGACAGGCGGTCCTCGCCGGCCATCGTCTACGTCGGCGGCGCGAACAGCGATGCGATCGCGATGGGATCTGGTCTTCGGGTGATGATCGATATATACAGTACGTACGGTTTTTTTAGACAAATATACAGTAATACTACATGAGTCGGTTATAAGAGTCAGCAATCAACGGGCTGAGCTGCATCTCAATTGGGCCTAAATTTGTCCTTCGTTATGAGGCCATACAATAAAGATGCTTAGGGCATCTCAAAGCAGATCCTTAGACCTTCACTTCACTATACGTCTGCACCATTTTCACCATTCAATCAGGGTTTTTATATGCCCGCTTAGTTCTGATGGTTTTTTTCATTCCCTACGCAAGGATGAAATGTTGGTTGTTTGTGCTTTTTTCATAAATTCATTTCTTGAACCATGCATTTGTTTCTTGCGTTGAGATCTTTGAAAATAATTTTCATGTTGATAGGTTGTGATAACTTTTTTATGGAAAAATCTATGCTCCCAACTAGTTGTAACTTGTTTGTTTTTGTGTGTGAACTAAACTGTGATCCCAATGCAAAATAAATTGTGCTTTCCGACGAAGCACAACTGTGCTCCCAGCGGGGTGAAACACGGATGTGCTTCGTGGTGAAGCACCAGTGTGCTACTTGACGCGCCGAAGCACATGTGTGTTTCACACGGAAGCACAACTATATTTCATGTGGAAGCACACGCCCTGCAAGATATTAACAAAAATAACACGGAAACAGAAAAAGGATAAAAGAAGAAAAATAAAACAGGAACAAAAAAAACGTCCCAAGCGCCATGGCGTGACACGTGGCGATGCTAGGAAAAGTGCCTCACACGGCCTCCTTAGAGCATCTCCAACAGACGCGCAACGCGCGTCGCGCTAAAAAACAGTACACAGCGCCATAATCGCCAGCTTTTGCACGCCGTGGTGCTCTTGTTCCAGCGCTTGTCATATGTTGCATTTTAGAGACAATATGTTCAAACATCAAAACTAGACACGACATAGTTTAAAATCACCCAAACAAATTCATGACATAAAAGTTCAAATTCATGCCCACGACATCATCCAACCAAGTTCAAAATGCGAACCAAGTTCATGACAAAAGTTCACACAAACGAATGGCACATCAGCAATCATGCCTCATCCTCGTCTTCATCCTCCTCTTCCTCTGATTCATCATCCGAAGACAATTCTTCCTCCTCTTCATTGTCGCGCGCCGCATCATCATGTGGAGCTCGGAAAGTGTTGGCAAGATCTCCAACGGTATCATGCGAAGGTGTGTGATGAGGCACACCAGAAGACGTTCCACTCATGCCGCCCGGAGGTGCTCCCATGCCTCACATGAGAGACACAAAACTCATGCCTCCCATGGTAGGTCTGAACCCACCCATGCCTCCCATGGCCCCCATTTGTGACCTTTCAGTGACCAATAGTGGTGGTCACAAGTTGACATATTTCTTGTAGTGGGTAGCTCCAAAGCCACTGGTGGCTCCCATGCCGCCAATGCCACCGCTACCCATGCCGCCCATGCCACCGCCACCCATGCCACCAATGCCACCACCACCCATGCTGCCCATGGCAACGATGGCTCTTTTTTGGACGAAAACTTCTTCACAGGCAAGATTGATCACTAGTAGAAAAGGGGCCAATGGTCCAGGCCGGTCCAGCCCATTAGTCCCGATTCAATCCAGAACCGGGACCAATAGGGGCATTGGACCCGGTTCATGAGCCCCAGGGGCCGGCCGGGCCACGTGGGCCATTGGTCCCGGTTCGTCTGGACCTATTGGTCCCGGTTGGTGGGATGAACCGGGACCAATGGCCCTCGCTCCTGGCCCACCACCATTGGTACCGGTTGGTGGCGTGAACCGGGGCCAAAGGACGACCATTAGTCCCCGTCCATTCCACCAACCGGGACTAAAGGGTTGGTCCTCGTTGCGGCCAAAGTTTAGTCCCACCTTGCCAACCGGAGGGGAATCAGACCGGTTTATAAGCCCCTCCCTCTCTGCCTTATTGAGCTCCTCTGAAATGAAAATGGATGCCCTTATATAGGGAATTTAGGCTAAATTCATACGAATTTCTCTTGAAATTTGTTATGAATTTAATTTGAATTTCCTCTATAAGCGCATCTATGCTCATTTCTGAGTAGCTTTTTATATAGTTTTTTTCTTTTCTGCTATATTTATTTTTTTCTTTTTATTTCTGAGTTGTAATAAGTCATTAAAAATAAGCATTTATGCTCATATTTTAGTAAAGTTAATCACAACTACTTTCTTTTCTTTTTATTTCTGAGTTGTAATAAGTCATTACAAATAAGCATCTATGCTCCTTTTTTAGTACAGTTAATCACAACTATTTTTTGCTTCAATTCATTTCTGAGTATCTTTTTATATAGTTTTTTTCTTTTCTGCTATATTTATTTTTTTCTTTTTATTTCTGAGTTGTAATAAGTCATTAAAAATAAGCATCTATGCTCCTTTTTTAGTACAGTTAATCACAACTATTTTTTGGTTCAATTCATTTATGAGTAGTTTTCTATATAGTTTTTTTTCTTTTCAGCTATATTTATTTTTTTCTTTTTATTTGTTAGTTGTAATAAGTCATTAAAAATAAGCATCTATGCTCATTTTTAGTAAAGTTAATCATAACTATTTTTTCTTCTTTTAATTTCTGAGTTGTAATAAGTCATTAAAAATAAGCATCTATGCTCATATTTTAGTAAAGTTAATCACAACTACTTACTTTTCTTTTAATTTCTGAATTGTAATAAGTCATTAAAAATAAGCATCTATGCTCATATTTTAGTAAAGTTAATCACAACTACTTACTTCTCTTTTTATTTCTGAGTTGTAATAAGTCATTAAAAATAAGCATCTATGCTCCTTTTTTAGTACAGTTAATCACAACTATTTTTTGGTTCAATTCATTTATGAGTAGTTTTTTATATAGTTTTTTTCTTTTCAGCTATATTTATTTTTTTTCTTTTTATTTCTTAGTTGTAATAAGTCATTAAAAATAAGCATCTATGCTCATTTTTTAGTAAAGTTAATCATAACTATTTTTTCTTCTTTTTATTTCTGAGTTGTAATAAGTCATTAAAAATAAGCATCTATGCTCATATTTTAGTAAAGTTAATCACAACTACTTTCTTTTCTTTTTATTTCAGAGTTGTAATAAGTCATTAAAAATAAGCATCTATGCTCCTTTTTAGTACAGTTAATCACAACTATTTTTTGCTTCAATTCATTTCTGAGTAGTTTTTTATATAAATTTTTTTCTTTTCAGCTATATTTATTTTTTTTCTTTTTATTTCTCAGTTGTAATAAGTCATTAAAAATAAAAAAGAGGCGCAATGCTTGTTAATTTGCTTCATGCCTTTCAGAATAGTGTCAACTGCAGTGCACATAGCTCTGTGCAGTCTACCGTATTCCTCAAGGCTTGAAGCTAACCAACGTGCAGGAGCATTGAGCCTCTTCATCATCGTCTCTGCACTCAGGGCTTATAAACACCTGCGAGTGCATCTCGCTTGGCGAGGTGGGACTAAAAAAACAGCTGCAGGAAGAATCAAAATAAAATAAAAAAAGTGCCACCTAAAGGGCTACCACGGCCTGAATACGACTAGAAACCCAACAATGGGCCAGGATTCAGGCCCGCAATAGGCCCAATAGGCCCACAGGCACATATAGTGCGTTTAGGCCCGTAAGCCTGCATTTGAGAGGAGCTCAAGAGGGCAGCGGGACTGGTGCTTATAAACCACTCTCGAGCTCCCTCAGCTAGCGAGGTGGGACTAAACTTTCGTGCCGCGACGCGGGCAGCATATGGCTTTTAGTCCTGGTTGGTGGCACCAACCGGAACTAAAGGGTTGCATTGGTACCGGTTCGTGGCACCAACCGGTACCAATGCCCCCCCTTTAGTCCCGGTTGGAGCCACCAACCGGGACCAAAGATCTTCGTTTCCCGCCCTTTGGGCTGCTGAAAAGAGGCCTTTGGTCCCGGTTGGTGGCACCAACTGGGACTAAAGGGGCCATTAGTCACGATTGGAGGCACCAACCGGGACCGATGCTCTTCCTATATATACAGGACTTGGCAGTTTTCGATCTCTCCTGCTCCACTCCCGTCG